CCCCTTTACTTCTTAGTTCAGTAAAACGTTTATTGCAGCTCCAAATTCAATTATATTTGCGCCTATGCATCCACAACGTCAAGTGCTAGAAGGATACGCCAAGGAAACAAATCTTACGTGACACAACAAGACAGTCAACAAAATTCAACGTTTTTGCCTCATAAGGCATTTTCGTAAATTCACGCTTTAAAATTAATAAAAACTGTAATATTTGTGGACGGGTCGTTATATATTCCAACTGGCTATGCATAGGTTTCACAACTCGAAGTAGTGTGCAAGTTGAATAGGGCATTGTATGGATTGAAACAATCACCTAGGGCATGGTTTGGTAAGTTCTGGACTGTTATAAGGAAGTATGGGTTCAGGCAGAGCAATTTTGATCATACACCTTTTTTGAAACGTCAAATGGGTAAATTGACGACACTCATTATCTATGTAGACGATATGATTGTTATGGGTGATGATAAAGAGGAAATCTCAAGGCTAAAAGATTATTCAACAACCGAGTTCAAGATGAAAGATCCTGGTGGATTGAAATATTTCTTGGGAATAAAAGTAGCTCGATCTAAACAAGGTATATTTCTATCTCAAAGAAAGTATGTTTTAAACTTGTTAGCAGAAATTGGAATGCTTGATTGTAAACTGGCCAACACCTCTATAGTCCAAAATCGTCATTTTGTCATGCACCCTGATCAAGTTCCCACTAACAGAGATCGTTATCAAAGGCTAGTTGGAAGGCTAATTTATTTATCTCACACCAGGCCTATCTTGCATATGCAGTGAGTGTTGTTAATCAGCTTATGCATTCCCCGAGTGATACTCATATAGGTGCGGTTGAACGCATCCTACGATACCTTAAGTCCTCTCCGAGTAGAGGTATCATGTTTTCCAAGAATGGTCATTGCTGGATAAAAGGTTATACTGATGCAGATTGGGCAGGAAATATTACTGATTGACGGTCCACATCTAGCTACTTTACATTTGTGGGAGGTAATTTAATGACCTGACGGAGTAAGAAACATAAAGTGGTTGCTTTATCAAGTGTAGAGCGGAATACAGCGGTATGGCAAAAGGAGTATGTGAATTATTATGGCTTTGGAGGTTGCTCGCAAAACTCGGGTGTCTTTCAATGTCAACGTCAGGTTTGTTCTGTGATAATAAAGCGACCATTGATATCTAACACAATCCATTCCAGCATGATTGTACGAAACAAGTGGAAGTTGACAGGCACTTCATTAAGGAAAAGCTGGATGGGAACATTATTCAATTCCTATTCGTAAAGTCAGATGATCAATTAGCGGACATCTTAACTAAAGTTGTTGCGTCTCAAGCATTCTACAACTCTCTCGTCAAGTTGGGCATGAACGACATTTATGGACCAACTTGAGGGGGAGTATTGGAGAGAGTTGACCTTTGTAATTAGTTTAGTTGCCTGTTTAGGTCCTTGTAATCAGGATGTGATTAGGGTTGATATTATTTTATATTTCTTTCTTTGTAAAACAATATTGTACAATATATATTTCCCTGCTTGCTGAGAAGAATAATAACATAGAAATTAAACAGCAAGATAAGTCCTAATTAGCACCATTAATGGAAGTGAATAAGCAGCCATATATTTTATGATGCATAAATAAAATAGCAAGGAGGACAAAAATGTACAAGCCAAGAACGTACAGCTATATGACAAGTTACTCGCTGTTTTTCTTTGCATTAAGTTCCCTAATTTTGATGCCAATTAAGTGATAGAAGTACTAATTGCAAAAGGTGCGACCGTGCGACTTTGTATTAAGTAGAATTGAAACAAAAGAAAGTAGAATTGGAACAAAAGAAAATTGTAAGTGCCTATAAAGGATACCAGGAGATAATTTAGCAACCACAAAACCACTACTCTACTACTACAAGATTGGGATGTTCTCCTCTCAATAAATGTAATTAGCCAAAATTAAAATTTAAAATAAAAAGCAAATGACAGTCAAGATGTAAAGAAGGGACCTAAACCTGTGCCTATAGATTCGAACATCAAAGTTGTAGTTTCAGGCAATTTTTTCCCATTCGCAACGTTGATAGCCCTCACTTGAACCTCATCCAGTTGTTCAACCCTTGAAACCTAATGGTTATAAAGAAGACATCTGTGAAGAAACTGAAAATATGAATTTAAATATGTAATATGCGGTTATAGCTCTACCTGAATTCCCGACAGCATAGTAGCTATAGAAACATCTGCTGCATCCTTGGTTGAAGGGAGATTACACATAGCAACCTACAATTTAAATTTTGATTAATAACATAATGAAATCACAAAAATTATAAACGGCTAGAAGTAATCAGCTGAAACAAAAATTATGCAAGAGTCCATAGAAGTAGACGTATCAACTTACCACGGAGTGTTACGGAATTTTCTGAAGCCGCAGAGTGACTTCTGTTATTACACCAAGCGTTCTTCACTTCCAATCACCAGGCGGGTCAAATCATACCAGTTACGTGCAAAGTTTTTAATGTTCACAACACGCCTAACTACCTAGAAGATTAACCAAATAGAATAGGAAACAAACCCGGCAGCACTCTTTCTAGCACGAGAGATGCAATCTTAACAATATCTCCATTTGCAAGTACTACCTGGAAGATGAACAGCATAAGAAATACAACATTACAAATTTGAGTCGAGTATCAATTAGAGATTGGTGACATTATCACGCATGGTTCCATACCTACATGCTAAAAACAAAATCATGAAAATCAATATTAAACTAGACCAACGAAACTAAAGTTTACATGAATATCGTTGATAGAATAAAAAACCAATAGTGCAACAAGATAATCAAACTATTAATTGTATATGAGTTTTAAATGCTACCAATTGGTGACAAACACTTAAACAAGTAAAAATGAAATGGTTTGGTTAGCCGGTCATGATTCCATTGAGCAAGGAAGAACAGACATGCAAGTCATCGTCTTGAAGAGGAGGCCTCAAACGTTAAGAGGGAGAGAGATCTTAATGTGATCAAAACTAAGTGGTCAGCAGGATCAAGAAAGATTGGAAAACACGTGTAAAAATCTTTCATTCATCTTCACAACTTTCCAGGTCTTTTCAATATCATTCTGAGATTTCTTACGTATTGTGTGTTTATATTAAGAGAGATGCTAAGGAAACTCTCTTAAAGTGAGACTCTTCAATTTTCATGGACCCTCACTTTACATTTTAGCGTTAATTCTCATGCAAACACTATCAATCAACACATGTTGAAGAGTTTTCAATCTAAAGTTGGCAGTCATGAAGCATAAACAGATTAATTTTTAAAAAAAAAAAAAATTATATTTTAATTTATACATAATTAATTGTCCCATCTTCTTCCCAAATCTGGAACCCATTAAAGTTACTGCATCGCCTCTGGCTTCCTCCGTCGTCATCCACACCCGCTCCCCTTCTCCTCCTCCCATGTCAGATTATCTCTACCCAGAAAAATGTCCACAGAGAGAGGGGTGGGACGGGGGAAGAAGAAAGAGAGGATAAACGGAAGAAAATAGCCGGCGGCAAAGAGGTGATATTTGAAATTTTCTATTTTCATTTTTGAGATATCTGAAATGTTAACTAGAGAAATGTGGCGAGCATCCCCATAATTAATGGTAGGTCTAGCAAACGGGTCTGTTTTGTCATTGTTATGTCATACTCATTATCTTAACGGGTTCTTAAAATGTGATTTGATAACGACATGATTGGTTAATGTTGAGAATCAATGTCATTTGTAGGTGAAGTAAGTGTGTGAGGTTGGTGAAGTAAGTGGAGGTTGTAGGTGAAGTAGGTGGATGTTGTAGGTGAAGTAAGTGTGTGGTGTAACTTTCATTTGGTTTGCTATAAATACCCAAGTTCCCAAGCATTGTAGATCATCCAAGGAAAAACAAAGCCTAGAGCTAAATAAGAAAAGCTTTGCTAATTAGTTTGTTTTGTGAGCTTTCTTTAAGAGTGTGCTCTATTTTCTTCTTCTTGGGATCATTAGAGTTATCTTGGATACTCTTCTTATTCAACAGTTAACGGGTCATTTCGTGTCGGATTAATGGGTCATACAAGAAATTGACACGCCTAATGTCTAGATTTAGCAAACGATATTTTTGTTAAAAATGAGTCTCACATTGATAGGAGGATGGACCTTGCATAGGTTTATAAGAGGTTGGGCTACTCCTCATATTGCCAATTGGTTTTATAGTGGGTTGTACCATGTGTGAAGTCAAATGGTCACAAGACATGTGCTCCACGTCACCCCGTTGTGTTGTCCACATGTTAAACTTGAAAATTCTGAGGGGGCATGTTGAGAATGAATCCCACATTGATGAGAGAATGAATCTCACATTGATGAGAGGGATCTTGCATGGGCTTATAAGTAAGTTGGACTACTTCCCATATTGTCAATTGGTTTTATGGTGGAACCTTAACTTTGTTCATAGTATTAGAGCAGATTGTCCCACGTGTAAACCCAAACGGCCACACGTGCTCCACATCACCCTGTTGTGTTGTCCACTTGTTAGGCTTGAAAATTCGTCGCACGTAAGAGGGCGTGTGGAGAATGAGTCTCACATGGATGGGAGAAGGGACCTTTGCATGGGCTTATAAGTAAGTTGGACTACTCCCTATATTGCCAATTGGTTTTATGGTGGAACCTCAACTTTCTTCATGGTATCAGAGCAGATTGTCCCATGTGTGAAGCCAGCCGGCCACACGCACTCCATGTCATCCGGTTATGTTGTCCACGTGTTAGGCTTGAAAATTCACCACACGTGAGGGGGCGTGTTAAGAACGAGTTCCACATTGATGGGAGGAGAGACATTGCATGGGCTTATAAGAGGTTGAGTTACTTCCCATATTGCCAATTGGTTTTAGGGTAGAACCCCAACTTTCTTCAATTTTATTGGGGTTCTTAAAGGGTGACCCGCTAACGGCCCGACTAGTTAACAGATTGACCCGAAACCCATTATTTTGTGTAATTTTGTGTCGGGTTAACAAGTCATGCAAAAAATTGCTAAGTCTCATTAATGGTGGTGAGCAAAAATAATCTTTCAAAACAATTGCTAAGCCTAGTTACAAGCGTCAAAGAATGATCTTGTAAAGCGATGAATTTGCATCATTAAACAATTTATTGGCTAGATCACGGGAGATTCTTGGTTGTCTCCCAGATATACCATTCTCTCCCTATATCTCTCGTCACGTGATTATAGATATGGGGCCTCTGCCTCCTCTATCTATCAATCAATACACCGCGTATTTGGCTTGCATATCCCAGAACTCCTTAGTTTGCTTCACTATCTCTGTGCGTTCGGCGTTATACCTCTCTTTCCAATAGTCTTTGCACCTGGTAGGGTGTTAGGAGTCAGAAAAGGGTAGCTCTCTCACAATAAGTTAAAAACCATTGAAGACTTTCAATTTTCTGACCTTGTTTTCAAGAGCAGATCTAGTTCCAACATGTGCACTGCTTTAGCAAACACTCCAGCCTGCATTCGAGGAGGATACGAACTTAGGATCAAACGATATATGATATGCAATTTTAATCTTTTCTTTCAAATTTTATATAAGATTATCACCAGTTTCTTCAAAAAACTAGCTACATACCTCTCTGCATAGTGGGCACTTTGCATCCAGGCCTGCAGATTTAGGGCCTTGGAAAATAAACACAGAAGCAGCTGCGCAAGCACAAGGCTTGCAGAACAGGTGGCCGCAGCTCAAAGCATATGGATTGAAAACAGTTTCCTGTGAGTCATACACATCAGAATTCAGAACAGTTACGTACAAATGCCAACTTTTTCTCATTCTGAATGCAAGTGAAAGGACCTTACCAAGCATACAGCACAAGTCAGATCATATTCCATCTTTAAGTTGTCAGGAAGCATCAATGTCATTGTAGGTGGTGCCGCATCGAGATCACAGGAAAAGCGACCAGAAACCTCATTGAGCTCTTCATCATCTAATCCATCAAGATTCAAATAAAAAGCACCCAATTCTATAAGCCAAGGTGATTGTAAAATCTCAATATGTTGAGCCCGCATCTTGGATTTGAAAAGCTTGCCATTCTCAGAGCTATGTATCTGTAGTATTAGATTTTGAACAAAGGAACACTGTTAGATACAGAACACCCTCAACCAAGTTAGCAAGGAAAAAAAAATGACCAGTTGCGTGCATACTTTATCATATTTCTCAAGGATTTTTCTGATAGCAATTGCGTTCATCGTAACATACTCGATCAGCATCCGCCCTTTTTCTACCATGGCTTGTTGATCATTCACAAAACACTGACGGAACCGCAGTAAGTATCTTTGCGCTCCGGTAGCAACATGCAGATGGAGGAGATGTCTGACTCTCAAACTAAAACATAGAGCTATGTCCGAAACCTCCTTCATTAACTCTGTGAAAAAGGCCTGATCACACACTACAATATAGAAAATTGATAGCAGATGAGTGAGACAACGGAATATGGTTATAACTTATAAGTAAGCAACAATGCTAACACCGAGAAGAAATAACAAATAACTTTACAGATAAGCTCAGTCTACAGAAATATGTTAGTCATGATATGTCACTTCTTTAACAAAATTCCCAAATGTCCACATCCTTCTAAGAAACAAGGAAAGTAGGAAAGCACGATTGGGGCAGCATCTCACATTCGTTAGGAAAGTTGGAATAAGTCCTTTTTGTTATTTGAAAATACCTGCACACTCGGTTCTACAAAGTAAAACTAAACCCGAAAAGGGGCAAAAATGCTAAAACGGCATGGTTTATGCCTATGATTTCTTCAAATCCTTTGAGCAGAATGCAGCTTACCTGGAAACCAATTGGGTAAATCTTAATCTTAAACCCCGAAACCTTGATCATACCAAAAATCAAAACCATGTTTCCTGACTTCTTTAGAGATAGGCCCTTGTAACTCTTGTTTACTAAAATTAAACCTATCTATCTTTAAACATTTAAATAAAATACAAAATTTAAGCTTGTTGACATGTGAAAAAATAAGTAACCTATTATTAATTTATGCCACAATACTCTAATTATGTTAATGAATTTTATTATTACCTATAATAATGATGAATTTTGTTGAGTATTAATAGACATGATTTGAGAGTTTTTTTTTTTACTTTCCGTGAAATCCTTATTTCCATCTAGCTTTTATTTAAGCAATCCAACCTTTTAAAATTCAAATAGTGGTGCACTATTGTGTGTGTAAAATAATTTACCTACATTTATTTATAAAGCATAATTTTTGTGACATTCATTAAGCCAATATTATTACATATATTAGGCATATTTTATTGTTATTATACATTGCTATGAATTTATAACATTAATTTCTTTTTTTTTGTAAAACTACTAATTCTTTCTTACAACCTCATGAAATTAATTGTGTACATTAAAACATTCAAATAATGGTATTTTAAGCATCCGAAAAATTTTAAATATGTAAAGTCAGACATAATTAATGAATTTACTTATGTGAAACCTAAGTCAATGAGCTTTATTAAAGTCAAAAATTTATGTCGAATTTTATATGCAGAAGATTGAATTTCACGAGCTAAATTACATTTTCAGTAAAACACCAATTGATAACAAGCTTATTAAAATAAATTAAATAATTGGGGAATAAATTCTTACAAGGGCAAGATTGGCATTGGCACAACTGCTGATTTTGATTAGAAGCACCTTCTTGTCCTTGAGCAGCTGAAGATTCCTGCAATGCCTTGCAACTCTGACAAGTCTTGAGAACATTCTTCAGCCGCTTGTACTCGACATGCGAGCAATTCTCCGAGAATCGTACCTTTTCCTTGTGCAAAAACTCGGTGTAAGTCTCTCCAAATTTCATATTTCCCGATGAATCCAATGCAAATCAGTCCGGCTTCTGAAACCCTAGAAACCGGGGAAAGCAGGAGGAAAATGAAAAATGAACGATTTGGAGTGAGATGAGAATAAGGGGGAGGCGGCGGAGGTGGGAGAAGGTTTTCGGAGCCGAGCTCCTACCCAAGGCTCGATTCCTTCTCAATTTTCTCAGGAAACAAACGAAGGTTTATAAAGGAAAATGAGTGGTGGCGACGGAGCACACGCGGAAGTCGAAGCGAGTTTAAACGGGAAAATAGCGCGCGCTTTTTAAGGGTTACCGTTACGCGTTTACTGAGTTGAACCAAGTTTAAGAGAATAGCTTAGGTTGAACGACAAGACACAGTCGTCGATAGTTAACGTATATTCTTGGAGTAATTTTAGGAAATAACTTAGGTGAAATGGGTAGACGCAGTCGTCAATAGTTGACACATATACATCGAATTTCTTTCAAAAAAAAAAATTATACAAAATATACTGTCATATCACGTAAATCGTAAGGTGCTTCTATTCTAGACTTTTAACAATTACGTAATTTTTTTGTTTATTTATTTATTTTGTTTTGAACAACAACAACTTCGTAGTTTGAAGAAAGGTTTTACAAAAACTACTACGTATGACCTATCACGCAACATGCATATACGGTTTGAAGAAATTCAACCCCCCAAATATTGCTTGTGTTTTTCTTTTCTTTTCTTTTCTCAACTTTTGCATATTCGCTAAGTTTCTTTTGGTCACCACAAACCACCAAATAATTTATTCAGATTTTTATGTATTTCATGTACACGATAATCATTCCCTAGATTTGGACGCTAATTGTAAATATTTTACATTTTAAAATTTTTTTACTGATTTTAATATTTCGTTTAAATTTGTTTAATTACTCGGTATAATAAAATTGTGTTGGGCTGCCCCTTTTTTTTTTTTTTTTTTTTTTTTTTTTTTTGAATGAGATGCAACTGTAGATATTCATTAGGGGCAGAAGTCAAGTCACTTCAAAAACCAGCAAAGGATTACAAAAATATGATCAGTCTTAAAAAAGTACAGCCAGTTACATAAGGCCCTCAAAAAAGAGGTTAGTGATTAAAGACAGAGGGCAATCAATTCATTCACTTTGATCCTCAATACTCAAACTGTAACGAGGCATACGATAAGCCACGGTGTTGCCTTGACGAAGAATATGGATACATAATCCTTCAATGATTATAGGAAGCCAAAACTTAGAATCTTCTATAATGTTGCGAATGGAAGACAAATTACAAGAAGAAACAGAAATAGCACCCATCGAATCTCCTTCAATGATAGTGTTGTGGAACCCCTTGACGTCGCCTAAACCACACCATCTCTAAGAGCCAGAGCCTCTGCCTGAGGAGGGAGAAGACATCCCGAAAATTCTTGCAAAAACCAGTCACGAATTGTCCTGCATCGTCCCTAATCGCGATACCCGCCCCTCCAATTTTCTCAACCCCATTTCAAGCTCTATCAAAATTCGTCTTCAAATGACCTTGAGGGCGTAGCGACCATTTAGTGGGGCTAGGAATAGAGGAACAGGGATCGGAAGAGTAAGAGTTTATTCTAATGAATTCCTACCACCAAGGGATGGCCCGAACCGCAGCCAAATCTGGTGGATCGCATTTGTCATTCCAAAACCTAGCATTCTTACAGTTCCAATTTACCCAAACCATCACCAAGGCAACGTCAAAGCTGTCGCTGGAAGGTTGGTAGCAAGCTCAAAAAACCAGTCCATCACAGATGGTGGTTCAGGATGTCTTGGCAAAGAGTTGAGAAGGGGGAGCTGATCCAAGAGCATCGAGCGAAATGACACTCTTTGAAAAGATGAATCGTGGAATCCACACAGGAGTTGCAAAAAACACATAATAGATTTGTCGATATTTGTTTCCTCGCAAGGTTAACCCTCATGGGGATGAGGTCTCTGCATAAGCGCCAAGTGAACAGACGAACCTTGGGGGGAATGTTAGCATTCCTGATTTTTTTTACCATACCTAATTAATTTGAACTGCTCCTAACACTGAACCGGTTACCTAATTTGGGTCCCCAAATTTTCTACTAATGAGTGTGCTGCAAAAGCTCATCCTCTACTAGTGAGTGTGTTGCAACCCTTCTTGGTGATTTCCAACAAGCTTGAAGCAAATACTCTAGAAAATCACGAGATACTCATACTCTTCCAGCCCTTGTGACAAAGCGGATGAATTCTATGTCTATTGTGGAACTGTTTGTTTGTGTTGCTTCAAAGCCCAATTTGGATATTGATATTCAAGAGAAATTAGATTCTATTGTTGTGACTGATCCTTCAGTTTGTGATAATCCAAAACTCCTAAGTGGGTCGGATTCTACTCTCTCGCTCCCGTCGGTAGAGTCAAGCAACCTTTTTTCTGTCTTGGCAAAGGAGGAACATGTTGACTCTAATCATTACTTGGCCAATACAACGACTCTGGGCATCCCAATGGCCTCATTAAATTCAAGGTAAAAATATTGCTGCTTTGCCAATGTTTAATTTATCATATTCAAAGAAAAAAAAATATATAGAAATTTGAAAAAATAAAATAAAATAAAATAAAAAAAAGCTCTTTGAAGGGTAAAGTTACAGATACCCGAGTCAACATGCATATTGCCCATATCCAATTATCAATATCGGGTGCTGGAACATTCGGGGCCTAAATGGCCCCACTAAACATATGGAGGTTAGGAATTTTGTTACTTTTCATAAACTTGATCTTTTGTATCTTATGGAAACTAAAATTAATTCTGGAAATGATAAGGGTATCTCCAGTTTTTTTTTTTTTTTTTTTTTTGGAGAGTGGATTTTGATCAATAATTATTGCAGCCACCATTATGGAAGAATTTGGGTTAGTTGGAACCCTTCAAAGCTTTCTGTGTCCAAGTTGGAAGCTACTAATCAAGTAATACAAATCAAGTAATACACTGTAACATCAAGCTTTTAGAACCTAGACTAGTTCTTTTTGCCTCCTTCATCTATGCCTCTAATGACGTTGTTATGAGGAGGAGTCTTTGGGTCTAATTTAGTTTCCTTTGCTAGTGTTTTTTCTAGCTCCCCTTGGATTGTTTTAGGAGATTTTAATATCACTAGAAGGTGTAATGAGATTGCTGGTGGTTCTCAACGCTTCACCAGTGTAATGGAAGATTTTGCTTATTGCCTCTTCAACACTGAATTTGATGATCTCAATGCCACTAGAATTTTCTACTCTTGGAGCACCAAGCAGGATGATTCAAAGTGTATTTTGAGAAAATTGGATCGTGTTCTGATGAATGAAAGGTGGACTGAAACTCTGCCAAACTGCTCTGCTGAATTTTTTTTCCCACTAACATCTCTAATCATTCTCCCATGGTAGTCAAATTAGGGCTCCCTTTCCGAAATCGAAAATTTCCTTTTAAATTCTTTAACTTTATGGCTGACAGGGATGATTTTATTCCTACAATTTTTAGTGTATGGTCTAATGTAGTGCAGGGCTCTAAACAATTTCAGGTTTGCAAAAAACTCAAGCTTATTAAGCAGCAGCTCAAGCGCCTCAACAAGGATCGTGTTGGAAATGTTTATGATGTTGTTGTTAAGTCCAAGGCTGATTTAGATATGTGCCAAACTCATCTAATTGTCAAACCAAGACTTTGCTCTTTCTTATGGTCTGGTACTTGCTTAGGGCATTATGCAACTAAAGTGTCTTGGTCTGACAATTTTATCCCTAAGGCTGTGGGGACTTTGGCTTAAAGAGATTACACTGTTAGAATAAAGCTCTTATGATCCGTCATTTTTGGAGCTTAATTTATGGTGCTTCTAATTTATGTCTAATAGGGTGAAGGCTTATTTACTTCAAGGTAATTCTTTTTGGAATGCCCATTTTCCTTCCATTTGCTCTTGGAATTGGAAAATTTCTTCATCTCAGAGGGCTAGTTAGACTCTTCTTCTTTCATGTCATTGGTGATGGGCCATCCACCTCTTTATGGTTTGACAATTGGCACCCGCTTGGGCCCTTTACACTTAGATGGCCTTCTAGTATCATTGAGGAATCAAGGCTCCAACCAAATTCTTTGGTCAATGAGATTATTGATGAGAATGGTTCCGGATGGAGGTGGTCTTTTTCTTCCTCTAAAGATTTATTGGAAATTCGAGTTTCTATGTTCCACCCTTCTCCTAACCTGTTTAGGTGTGATTTTATTACTTGGACTTTGTCACCCAATGGAAGCTACTCTGCCTCACCTGCTTGGAATATTATTAAGGAGTCTCATCCAAAGGTCTCATGGGCTAGTCTCTTGTGGTTTGGTAAGCATGTCCCAAGGTGGAGCTTCGTTCTTTGGCTTGCTATAAGGGGTAAGTTTTCTACTATGGATCGGGTGATGGTCTTTACCCCTTATGCCTCCCCTATTTGCTCTTTTTGCTTGATTGATAATGAGTCTCACAATCACTTGTTCTTTGAGTGTCCGTATAATGCTAATATTTGGTCTCATGTGCTTTCAAAGTGTTGTTGTGATCCTCCTCCTTTGGATTGGCATGAGTTTATCACTGAGGTTGCTAATAATGGGACGCGTAAGTCATTGGATGTTAGCATTAGGAAGTTGTGCCTCCAAGCTGTTGTCTATGCTATTTGGAAAGAAAGGAATAAGTGTAAGTTCAGAAATGAACACTATGTTGCTATCTTTGAAGCCATTATGAATTTTATACGCTTACGGTCATGTTCTTTGCATATTCCGGTTTTTACTGCAAATGTACCTATTTTTCAAGAATGGAGAATTCCTATGTAGTTCTCCTTTTAGTGCTGATTGTTAGGTTGTTGTTTTTTAAAGCCTCTTGTTTTTTTTTTTGGTTGTTTTAGCTTGGCCTTTGTTGCCATTGTTGTGCTATAGTTTGTTGCTTCCTTTGGTTCTTTTTTAATATAATCATTCATTTACCTCAAAAAAAATTAAAAAAAAAATATTTGGGACCCCAAACAAAAAAAAAAAAAAAAAAAAATTATTGTGGAACAAATCCCCTAGCATATTGTTTGAATGAGGAAAAAAAAACTTGGATTTAAGTCATAATTTATAAATTGACATGCACCAATTCCCTTATTTAGATTCATAATCATAGAAATTTAGAATTTCCTCATAGAAAAAAATTGAAATTTGGGACCACCAAATTCAAATTCCATGTAAATAGGTGTCATTTCTAAATTGCTATGAATGAGAGTTTAAAAATAACAAATTCAATATTAAAATTTCATTGTTCTTTTAAGCTAACCAAACAAGAAATTTAAAAATTCTAGAAAATAAAATTTCGTCATTCCAATTTCTGTTGTTTTAAAATTCCTTAGTAATTTGCCACTTAGTACTACAGTCTAGTGGTATTTCTCTTCACTTATAACTGAGAGGTCTTAGATTCGATTTTTGCTAAAGACAAATCTGAACCACATTATTGCTAGCCCATTGTGAGGCTAAATCTCATCTCCCTCTCCCTTAGTGTATATAATATCGTTTGTTCAAAAAAAAAAAACCGTAATAATCTTAAATTTTCTCATCTAAATAAAGTGTAATGTTCATGGAATCCTGAGGTAACTTTGTGATAAACCCCTTTTGACCAATTTTTGAAAAAAAAAAATATATATATATATACACACACACACACACACACACACACTTATATAGAGTTTTGACTCAATTGAGAAGGTGTAACAAAATATGTGGGGTAATTGAGCAATAAAAAATATGTGGGTTAAATATCAACAAAAAAATATATGTGGGGTAAATTTGAACTGTTCAGTTGACAATTGTTCCTCCATCAACTCGATTCGATTAGCACCCGGTGTCTGTCGGCTGCAGTCGGCAGAGGATAGACAGCCTCTCTTCTCCTAAACCAAAAGATTCAGGTTTCAGCTGCGAACCCAACTGAAACCGATACCCACCCGCGCACCCGACCCAAACCCGTTTGATCTGAGATTCTGAGATCCACCGCCCAGAAGCCGTCCCCGAATCAACAACCACCGACCCATCACGCCTCCTCCTCCTCCAGCTTCCTACTGGTAAATTTCCCCATTTGGATTTTCTTGTTTGCTCTTTAATCTTTGCTTGTGTAAGCATGACTCTTTGCTTCGTTAGCTTCTGGGATTGTTTGGGTTCTTGAAAATGCATGAATTTATTTGAAACTTTAATCCAGTTAAAATTATTCAGTTTTGTTTGATGTACAACAAGACTCTCTCTTTCATTCAATCCAAAATTATTAAATTTTGTTTAATTTTGCACAAATAACCGTCCATTTGTTCGATCTCCAAATCCAATCAATTTTTGTAGATATGATATTTAGATGAACATAAAAATTTGGATGCTTTAATTCCATCTGAAAAGAAAAGTCCGTGCATATACCAAAAGTTTCGATTTTGTTTGTTGCACTCGTTACTCATTACTAGCTCAATAATCGCAGTGTTTTCGTCGGACTTCGTTTCTGGATTTTGATATAAACCTACTGTAAAGTTTTTTACTGGGTAAAACCTTTGCATTCTGAAGTATTCGTTGTATCGTGTTAAATCGCTTAAGATACGGAGGCGAATTTCAAGTCGGCAATGATCTCATTGTTTCTGATCCAGTGAACATTTGATTTCACGAGCAGGTTCTCTGCTGATGGCAAAGAAAAGGCAAACGCAGCTTGGGGTTGCCCAGCACAAGAATAATACCTCCACTGGTGGTCTAATTGAGTCTTCAAACTCCGATAATGATCCTGATCTGCAAGATAATTGGGTGATAGTTAAGAAGCAGAGAGTCAAAATTCTGATACCTCCCCTGCCCGTTGCTAATAAATCTCCACCGCCAAATCCAGGACCAGTCCAGCTGCAACCTGTGGCCGGAGAAGCGGAAGGAAACAAATCACAGTTTCCTGTCGAGACTGAGACATGTCCTAAGACGACTTCAGTTCAGGAGCAAAAGAGGATTAAATCTATTGCTCATAAAAGGGTTGTTCAAGTTGCTAGAAAATCTCCTCCTGCTGACTACGTTTCAACATTTGGGAAGTCAATCAAGCGAGGTGTAAGAATGGAATTACGAAATCCAGATCAGATTGCTACTTCACAGTCTCGTAGAACACCGGGGGTATTTAAAACCTCAAAAGCCATCATTCAGCCAAGAAAATTACGACATGGCCCGAGTATTTTCCTTGATCAGGGAATGCTGCTAAATCAAAAGCTGAGAGCTCTGAATCTTGAGAGGAAGCTTCAGAAAGCTGGCGGGTTAAGCAGGTGGTTAGCATCACTAGGACTGGGGCAGTTTGTTAGGATTTTCCAGAGGAAAGGTCTGAGTAAGTTCCAGTTGGTGAATCTGACCATGAAGAAGCTCAAAGACATGGGTGCCAATGCAGTAGGGCCCCGGAGGAAACTGATGCACGCAATCGACTGCTTTTGCCAGCCGTGCTTCTTTTAAAAGCATTCCGGAATTCATTTAGGATCAAGTTGAGAAACAAAACCTAAAACCAACATCTTTTTCTGCGAGTAACATCAGAAGCAGCGAGGTACGTTGTTCCCATTTCGATGTGTGCAGTTTTTGGATTGTTGCATTTTATGAAAAGAAAATGTCTACAAACTACGGCAATGTCATGTGAGTGCTGGTTGTATGGATAAGCCTTGTGTCAGTTTTCTACGAGCATTCAGAATGCTACATGAAGTAGGTTTGTAACGTTTGTTTATGGAAGTATGGGTGTAAATAATTGTGTCCATTAGATCACACGCATTAGTGGATCTGTCAAATTATATGTTTCTGATCCACCACATGATATTTTCGTAAGAGGACATAATGTGGTGGCGATGCTCACCATTTTACGGTGATGGATAACGTATTATTTCACCGGAGGTCGATGTTTGAGTGACACAAATGTGGTGGCGATGCTCACCATTTTACGGTGATGGATAACGTATTATTTCGCTGGAGGTCGATATTTGAGTGACACAAAAAGAGAAACGAACTTCTTACTCCTTCATGTAAGGACTTCATTTCGGCATGGGAGAGAGGTTGGCTGGTACCACACTGATTCTAATTTCAAGTGAATCCATATAATAAAAAACAATATTTCACACGTTACCCATAAAAATTGAATTACTCATTTTGTTTGGGAGTTGGTAGTGTTTTTATATAAAACTAAAAAGAAACCAATTACGAAATTTGGTTTAGAGTATGTTTGGTACTTTATTTAAATTTAAATTTTTAGACGTAAAAATATTTTCTACAAATACTTTTTGCGTGTTACACTTTTGCATACTTGTTTGATTGGACGATTTGCAAAAACTGAAGTCAAAATAACTTAAAAATTAGTCTACTTATAAAAAAACACAAAAAGTGTGTTTTTAGAATTTTTAAATGCCAAATCAGTATTTTCTCACTCCTCTCCTCTCCTTCCTCTCCTAATCCCCTCTCTCCTTTCTTTCTATCTCCTCCCTTCCAAATCACTCTCTTATTTCTCTCTCTTCTATCTCCTCCCTTCCAAATCACTCTCTTATTTCTCTCTCCTCTCCTTCATCTCTCTCTCTCCTCTGACTCTCTCTTTGGATATCTTTGTCTATCCAATTGGTAGTAGTTTTTGAATTCACCCGCAGAGAGAAAGGGGGGGGGGGGTTAGGGTAATTTTTTTCTTTTTTTTTAATTATTGAAATTAAAGACAATTTTGAGTACCAACAAGTTTTAAAATCTTAAATAAAATTCTTTTTAAAAGAACTTTTTAAAAAATGTTTTGAAAAATTCTAAATTTTTTTAATACGCTACCATATAGGTCCTTAGTTTTTAGAAATTCGAGAATAGTAACCCAATGGATCGAAAATAGGTCGAATCTTTATCTACAAAGTTGGGAAGTATAAAAAAAATGATTGCAATTGTTGTCGGTATATGACTTTTTCACGAGAGAGAGAGATTTAGATGCACCAAAGCTTAATGCTGTGGCCACTCACCTTGGGTTGGCATGAACACTCAACCAACTCTGCTTTTGGTATGACATTACAAAGTGGGAAATGAAAGTGAAAGGAAACAAAATAGACACTCGGATTCTCATTCTTTTCCATTGTAAAAATCAAGCTAAAAGGAACATGTTTCGAATCTACAAAATGTTTTTTGCATGAAAGTGGTCGTTCTAGTAGATAGAGTATTCATTTTTAACTCAATGTGTTTCTGGTTTAAATATTTTCCCTTCTCTCTAGTCTAGTTTAGGCCTTTCGCATAGTGGACCGGAAAATATGAGTTCTAAGAGAGTCATTCTAATTCTTGTAGTTCAATATAGGGTAGTGATCTTCACCCGTTTTACCTCTCACATACCCTTTCAATATAGAACTAGTAACAATTTTTGAGGGTGTGTGCCAGTAAAACGCAATGTGTAAAAATCATCACCCTATATTGAGAGTTGACCGAAATGGGCACTAAATACTTTTCGAGAGATCTCCTCCAAATCACTGGTATGGCTATCAAAATCGTGAGCATCAGCGTGTAGGTTCCAGATCCAAGTGGTAGTATCAGGTCCCTTAGCTATTGTTCTTGAGAAATGACCCGGTCTGGCCCATTCCTCGAAAGAAGTTTTTACGGGATCCCTATCTACCAAAATTTTAACTTCTGGTTCCGGCGAACGAATAATCATTGAGTCCTCCTCTTTCCGGACAACACATACAAAGAGACCCGCCAATAAATAGTTAAGTAATTAGTGAACTTATGAGAGATGTTTAGACTTAGTTTTTTTCTCTTCCATCTCCCATCTATCTATTTTCTTTAGTTATTCACTAGAGCAATTATGATCTGGAAGTTGATCCGGGGCAAGTGTTCGGATCTATTATGACATAGCCGTGAGGCGCTTAACGGACCCTTTTAATCTTATAAAACCCCTTTCTGGGCTTTAATTGACGCAAAAACCATTTTTTTGTGCAACCTAGTGTATTCATATCTCAATTATAAGTTCCTAAACAAAACTACTTTATACTTTATGTCTTACATAGAACATATTACTCTGTTCCGTACTCTATTCCAAATCAAAATTTTGCTAGAAGTCATTACTAAGAGACATCTCAGTATTTAAATTTAGTCATTCGAAGGTCTGTTTTATTAGTTTTAATAGAAGAAAAAAAAAAAAAAAAAAATGGATTCTCCACTTTATCTGTATATATCGTTTATTCCTACGAAATACCAGACGAAATAGAACGATCTTAGAAGGGATATAATGAAATTCTTTGATTGGTTCTTCCCAGAGAAATGATCCTCGATAGGGACAACAAACAATTAATTAGAAAATGAATTATAACAAATATAAAAAATCTATAAAACTAAATATCTAAATTAAATAATAAACAGTTCTTATTCGAAACGCCTTGTAATCTTCAACCAATTCTGTGCTTCAATATAATTACCAGGAGTAAGCGCTATTGCTTGTTTCCAATACTCGGCGGCTTGATCGAACCAAGCCTCCGCAATTTCGGAATCTCCTTGTTGAACGGCCTGTTCTCCCCGGTCGGAATAGGGGGGTAAATTCCTTCCCTTAGAACCGTACTTGAGAGTTTCCGACCTCATACGGCTCAGCGGTCAAATTCTTTTGGTGTCCTATTTTTTAATTACCCTATCTAATTGAATGAGATTTCTCAGAGATATATCCCATTTTTTTTCTCGAGTTAACCAAAAGAAAGAGGTTAATTGCATAAGTTTCAAACTCAAATTTTTCTTAATAATCAGTTTTATCTTTTCTCCCACCTTCAGAAAACTAAAGCATAAGCATTTTCACTATCATTCTAATTTTCTGAAAGGTAACTATCTCGGTTTCATATATAAATTGATATAGAATCTTTGAAAAAGACCTTCCTTCATAAGAAGGAAAAGACTTACTATCTTTGGGATCTGATGCTACACCGCTGCTCAATACCTTAGGGGATCAACTCTATTACATAAGTGGATTCCTAACTTTTATCTCATATCATGACATAAGCAAGCAGTTCTTATTGTATCGGACCAAAACCTCGCGAATTGATCTTTACGGCGCTTCTTCTATCAATTAGATCCTTTATCCATAGAATAAAGTATCTAGGCATACCTATTTCTTCATATTTCGACTTTTATGAAGTTTATTTCTTTGCTACAGCTGATAAAAATCGTTGTTTTGAACGATACATATGTAGAAAGCCTACCCTTTGTTTCTAGTATTTATTAACGGATTTGTTCCTTCTTTCCTTTTTTTATTTCTATAGTGGAGATAGTCGCACGTAATGACAGATCACGGCCATATTATTAAAGGCTTGTGGTAAGAATGGGTTTCGCTCTAGTGCCCGAAAATAATATTCTAAAGCTTTCGTATGTTCTCCGTTACTTGTGTGGATAAGGCCTATGTTATAGAGTATATAACTTCGATCATAAGGATCAATTTCTAATCGCATAGCTTCATAATAATTCTGTAAAGCTTCTGCATAATTTCCTTCGGATTGAGCTGACATCCGTTACGGTCGTCATTCGATTAAAAAAATCTCCGTTTTAGAACCGTACATGAGATTTTCATCTCATACAGCTCCTCCTTTATGTGCATAATGATAAGAATACGTGGAATAAAAAAAGATTGAAATATTCTCATTATAAACTAAGTGGGGATGGTGTTTTTACAAGAAATCTCTAGCCAACCTTCTTGTAAAAGATCTTTACTTAACATCAAGCATGTTGGTATTAGATAAAAAGTTACTCCAACAATTTCTTTGTCTTCAACGCCCTTTTATTTGCAGGAATTAGTCACTTCAACAGTCTTCGATGGTTATACAGGTATCCAAAAAACGAACGAGATGGATGTTTGTTGTCCCAACCATTCTTGTTAGTCCCGATCCTGATAAGGAAAAGGGATAATTTATAACAAAGTTTTCGTGTGTTGATTCCTAGGAGTAGTGCTTCTTCCCCTATGCCCTCTATTGGTGGAGACCTAACCCATAGGTGTAATCTCCCGCTCAATACTCTAGAATCGACAATTGAAGCATCTGAGGCTGCATTAATCGGGGATACACGACAGAAGGGTTTGCTTTATTTACAAACTTCACCTTCAACAAGCATAGATTTATTTCAATAATTTTTTCCTATCTCGAATAATGTTGTCTTTCTCTTAAGATTAAGAGTAGTAAAAAATAGAAAAGAAAATAAAAAAAAGAAAAAAATCAAATCGCACCATCTCTGTAATAGGTGAATGCCTCTTTTTCTCCCGAAGTTCTCGGAATTATTCGTAATAAGATATTGGCTACAATTGAAAAGGTTTTATCAATAAAATTTCCATTTATCCCAGATCGAGACATAGGTGTATTAATCCATTCTATAATTTATTTTAATTTCATTTCGTGAGAAAATGATCCCACAAACAAAGGAATTGTACAGTATGAAATAACATAAAAATGGATTCATTAAAATAAAAAGGAAGACCTTTTACTCATACTCAAATTGTTTTGTTTTGACAGGAATCAATAAAAAAAAAAAAAATCCGGGGGACGGTTCATGAATTTGAAATCAATCTATGGGTTAAGAAGTTGGAGTAAGGAGTTGTTGTTGAAAAATCTAAAACTGGAAAGGCATTTTAGAATTTTTATGAAAATTGAATAATGATCTAAAGATATCCATTAAACACAGTCTAAAAAAATGGATCAATCGTTGAATTCGTTTCAATTGAGAGATTAAATCCGGTATAAATATTAGAAAGGGCGGAAACCCCATCTTCGCAAACATGAATAGATATATCTTTATTTTACAATTTTTCACAAAAAAGATTTATGCGGAAGGATTTGTCTTTGATGAAAAGTTTTCTATTTTTAGAGTTCAATTTTTTAATAATTTTAATTCAATGTAGATACCTATCCAAAATAATATGAATGACTCACTATTAACTCGGTTTTTTGGCCATAATCATTATGTAGGAGAGGTGGCCGAGTGGTTCAAGGCGTAGCATTGGAACTGCTATGTAGACTTTTGTTTACCGAGGGTTCGAATCCCTCTCTTTCCGTACTCTTCACCTAATTCACCAATGTTACTGACTGCAATGCATCAAATAAGAATGTATACTCCAACAGTTAGACCTTTCTTTTCTTTGATATCGATTATGTATTCCTAATCCAAATCTTCTGTGGTACGAAAAATACTGGGCAAAATGGACAAGGAATGAAAATCCCCTACCGATCTATGATACATGAATGAGATCAAAATCCCCAGATCAAACCCCTTACCTTACTTACCCCGGGTCCCTTTACTTAAGCCAAAATGGAGAGGTCAAAATTGTCCGAACCCTTGTTATTTTAGTTGGGGTTAAGTCTGACGAGAGTAATATTCTACAACTAGCAATTCATTTATTTTCAAACCGACCCATTTACTATCTATTATTTGATTGACGAATCCTTCATATTGGAATGGGTGAAGAGTCAAATGGTTTGGCAACTCCTCGCGGGGGGATGAATCAAGATAATTTTGAATCAGAGCCCTCGATTTTTGCTCATCCCTCACTGTAATAATATCTCGGGGTTTACAGCGATAACTTGGTATATCTACTATACGACCATTAACTAAAATATGTCTATGGTTAACTAATTGGCGGGCTTGAGGAATAGTCGAAGCCATACCCAATCGAAAAAGGATGTTATCCAAACGCATTTCAAGTAATTGTAGTAAAACCTGACCTGTTGATCCTTTGGCTTTTCCGGCGATACGAACGTATTTAAGTAATTGTTGTTCTGTAAGACCATAATGAAAGCGCAATTTTTGTTTTTCTTCTAAACGAATACGATATTGAGATTTTTTTCCGGGGCGCGATTGGTTTCTAAGATCGCTTCCGGCTCTAGGCTTTTTACTAGTTAGTCCCGGTAAAGCCCCCAGACGACGAATTTTTTTGAAACGAGGCCCTCTGTAACGTGACATAAAGACTCCTTATTTTTTATGAAATTTCATAAAACAAAATTAAAACTAAACTAAAATATGATAAATTAATCGAAATTTACTGAAGTATTGTATTACAAAGAATAATTAGAGGAATTGTATCAATATCCGGACCTTATTGTATATAAATAATTGTATTATATAAATAAAAAGAATTTTAAATAATAATAAAAAAAAATTCAGGGTTCTTTTCTTGATTGATTTGTTCTACAGAGACCGAACTCCTCCAATCCCATTTTTATTCATAATTGGAAGTTCCTACGAGATGATAGGGTGACCCCTTGGGAAAAGGGAAAGAAGTTTTTCGCTTTGATTTCACATTATCAATTATGTAAAAAATCAAAAATCAAACAAACGGAGAAAAGCCGGCTATCGGAATCGAACCGATGACCATCGCATTACAAATGCGATGCTCTAACCTCTGAGCTAAGCGGGCTCACATAACATAAATTGTACACGTATACTAATTTAGTAAACTACTGAGATATTAATTGTTCATTCTTAGCTATTTCATAAGAAATATGATATATAGAAAAATAGAAATTCATAAGAAATATGATATATAGAAAAATAGAAATATCAAAAATAAGGAAGAATAGAAAATAGAATTTTAGAATTTCCAAACATATTGGATATTTGAATATTATAGAACATACCTATTAATATAGCGATATTATTAAATATCGCGATATAAAATTTTGATCTATTTCTCAAATATATGTTTATCAATAATAAATATCTTAATTAGCTTAATTAGATGGTAAGATTTTTTTTACTATTCTATGTTTACTATTTTTTATTACATAATTTTATTATATTTCATATATATTTTATATATGGATCATATATATTTTATATATAGAAATATATATATTTCATTTTAATTTGAAAATATATTTTAATATATCATTTTAAATAAAATCGAGTAAAGTAATGTAATTAAGTTTAGAATCTTATTCTATTTCTATATTTATTGTATATTACAATCTTATAATATTATTATTTATTATATATAATTCGAAATAATTTCATATTTAATTAATAAATAATTTTATTTTGAATTCTCTTCTAATTCTAAATTAACGGAATGGTTAGTTATAGCCATTTTATTAGTTTTAGTTATGGCTATTAATTGAATTTAAAATTAATAATACTCAAATCTTCCTTTTCGTTTTTTTGTTATGTTATAATGTTTTTTTTGTTATGTTATAGAAGGCCTGCCCTAAGAATAACATGAAAGATAAAAGCGCAATCCAGATCATAAAGAAACACTCCTTTGGTTTCATTCGGAAAGGTGAAAGCTAAGACGAAAAAAAAAGAAAAAGAAATCGACCGTTCAAGTATTTAAAATTTCACGCTAAAAACGGTAGAAATAGGGGCATATATAAGTATAATAAATATATATGTTATGCGACCTATATTGAATTGATAATATAGAAATGATAGAATCATTTCTGATTGGACCAAATAAGGGTCTCCGATAGAGATGAAAGAAAATATACAAGAAATCAAATAGTAGAAAAAACTTTTCAATATAGGAACCGGTATCTAATGAATTCAACCGGTCCAGCATAATAGAAATGAAAGAAAAGGAGGGGGGCGGCATCATGATGTGATCTTAATCACATCAAAAAAAAGAGGGGATATGGCGAAATTGGTAGACGCTACGGACTTAATTGGATTGAGCCTTGGTATGGAAACCTACCAAGTGAGAACTTTCAAATTCAGAGAAACCCTGGAATTAAAAATGGGCAATCCTGAGCCAAATCCTGTTTTATGAAAATAAACAAGGGTTTCATAAACCGAAAATAAAAAAGGATAGGTGCAGAGACTCAATGGAAGCTGTTCTAACAAATGGAGTTGGCTGCATTGTGTTAGTAAAGGAATCCTTCCATCGAAACTTCAGAAAGGATGAAGGATAAACCTATATACATACGTATAGTACTGAAATACTATCTCAAAATGATTAATGACGACCCAAATCTTTCTTTTGTTATATTTATATGAAAAATACCTCTCCATTACATCAAAGTTATTAAACAATTGAAAAGTTATGTATGAACTAAGATGGGGCGTGTAAAAAGTATAAATTAGATAAGTCAAGTCTCTCAATTGTGTTATAAGAATGAGAGGACATCCTAATTGACAAATAATAGTATGAATTTGTGAGGGTCCTACCTCAACAATCAATCATGCGATCACACTCGATCATGCGACATTCGATTTGTCATTTCAACGACATTTATTGGGGTGTGAGGTTGTCCAATTTCAATTACGTGCCGCTTGCTGACACCTAGTTTCCATTGACAGCGTGAGAGATCAGTCTCAAGACATGATTCGTATATATATAAAATTAAAGTAGCAATATTGTTTATAATAAAAAAAATATTTTTATAACAAATCTTTTTGTGTGAATTAGTTGTCACCATTTTTTTTTTTTTTTAACAAACGATATTATCTATTTTAAAAGAGTAGAAGAACAATAGACAACTTGCCATTTTTATTGGGGAATTTTTATTTATTTTTATTTTTAGCATATGAACAATGATTATGTTACTCTTCGATTCTAATCCTAAAAATATGAGAGTTTTAACGTAAAGCCTGCAGTACTGTTCACTTTAATGAAAAATCATATTTTTACACTAAAAAGTCAAACCTGATACTATTCACTTTACCTTTTATTTTATCATTATCGTTAAAACTCAAAGTTTTCAAACCATTTTCATTAGTTTTTCTTAAAAATATGTATGAGAAGTAAAGTGCTCCACTTTTTCATGTCTCGTCTTCACTTTAAAACCCAATTATTAGCAGTATGGCTGTCTTGGTGCAAACCCTTTTTCGTTTAGGTGGAAAGGTATGGAATAGTTGGTTTTTGCATCTACTTTTTTTTTTAGTTTTTTGTTTTTGAATAAACGATATTATCTACATTAAGAAAAAAATAGATGGTTTAGTTTCACAATGAATTAGAATCAAACTTAAGACTTCTCACTTGCAAGCGATGGAATACTACTAGATGGTAATATTAACTGACAGTTCTTGCATCAACTTTTTAAAGAGTATATGAGGTGAAAAAAAATGTGAAAATTTGGTTTTTTTTCTTCGTCTATATAGGTATCAAATTGTGATTTGTAATTAAAAAAATAATTTCTTTATGTAATGTCGTCACTCTTTTTTTCTTTTTCTTTTTTTAAAAGGGGACTGGTAAATGTGAAACAAGTTACCACATATGCTATTATGTGTACGAGGCCTCGTACCTTATACTCAAAACTTATACGCGTACCTTGAACTCTAAACGTAAAAAACAACTAACAATCATATGTACAAACCTCGAGTTTCATACTTGAACTTAAAAATCAAAACCTAGATTGGAGGTAAACTAGTGCTAGTCCAAAGACTCCAAAACCCTAATGCAATTAGACACATATGAATCTATGATATTGGACTAAACTTTTCCAATCA